GGGGCAACGCGGGGTTCCTGAAGGTTCTGGAAGGTTCTGGAAGGTTCTGGAAGGTTCTGGAAGGTTCTGGAAGGTTCTGGAAGGAAGCAGGACGCACGCAGTGCTCATTAACGCTCTGTATTAACGAACTCACAGCCTTTCCCGTTAGTACAAAGGGCCCCGCGCCCGCTCCTCTTTGAGGAGGGGCCGGGATATAAAAGCCAAGCAAACCTCGTCAGCTGATAGGAAATTAGAAAATCCCGCCGGGATCCACCCGCCCCCGGCCCGGGATCCACCGGGATCCACAAAAGTCACCGGGGAAACGCGGATCTGGGGGGGATCCCAGTCCTGGGGGGGGCAGGGGGGGGCAGAGCTCGGCCCAGAGCGGCGTGGGGAGGGGGGCGGGGGATCCCGGATCCAGAGCGGATCCCAAAGCTGGATCCCGGATCCCAGACCCAGAGAGGATCCCAAAGCTGGATCCCGGATCCCAGACCCAGAGCGGATCCCAAAGCTGGATCCCGGATCCAGAGCGGATTCCAAAGCTGGATCCTGGATCCCAGACCCAGAGAGGATCCCAAAGCTGGATCCCGGATCCCAGAGCAGATCCCAAAGCTGGATCCTGGATCCCAGACCCAGAGCGGATCCCAAAGCTGGATCCCAGGTCCCAATGCCAGATCCTGGATCCCGAAGCCAGATCCCAGGTCCCAGGTGCGCTGTGGGGGAGCGGGAGGGCAGATCCTGGATCCCAAGCCCAGATCCCAGAGCTGGATCCCGTCCCGGAGCGCGGCAGCGGGGCCGTGCCGGCCTGGCCTCGATCCCAGCCCAGATCCCAATCCCCGATCCCAAGCACCGTGTGGGGCGGCAGCACAGAGATCCCAAACTCAGATCCCGGATCCCGGCGCCGCAGGAAGCTGCAGCTGCCGTGGCCACAGCAGCTCGGGGACTCGATCCCATCCCAGATCCCATCCCGGAGCCGAGATCCCAAACCTGGATCCCGGCTCCCAGATCCCAGAGCGTCTCGGCGTGGCCGTGCCGGCCCGGCCTCGTCCAGGCGCCGCCGGAAGCGCTCGCCACGGTTCGGGGGCTCGATCCCATCCCGGATCCCGGAGCAGCTGCTGGCAGAGATCCCGGCACAGATCCCGGTGCAGATCCAGGAGCAGCTCCCGGCACGGATCCCAGCAGAGATCCTGGCACAGATCCCAGAGCAGCTCCCAGCAGAGATCCCAGCAGAGATCCCGGCACAGATCCCAGAGCAGCTCCCGGCAGAGATCCCAGCAGAGATCCTGGCACAGATCCCGGAGCAGATCCTGGCAGAGCTCCCAGCAGAGATCCCGGCACAGATCCCAGTCCAGATCCCGGTGCAGATCCCGGCGCAGATCTGCAGATTCCGGCGCAGATCTGCAGATCCCGGTGCAGATCCCGGTGCAGATCCCGGCACAGATCCCGGAGCAGATCCTGGCAGAGCTCCCAGCAGAGATCCCGGTGCACTTCCCGAACCAGCTCCCGGCGCAGCTCCCGGCGCAGCTCCCATCCCGGTTCCCATCCCGGTTCCCGTCCCGGTTCCCGTCCCGGTTCCCGTCCCGGCTGCCGCGGCTGTCTCAGTGTGGCTGCGCCGCGCCGCCCTTGTCCAGGTGCCGCAGGAAGCCGTCGCCGCCGTGGCCGCGGTGGTTGAGGGGCTCGCTCTTGAAGAGGGCGGGGGGCGGCGGCAGGTGCGGCACGGGGGGCACGGGCAGGTGCTGCGGGTGCTGCGGGTGCTGCGGGTGCTGCGGGTGCTGCGGGTGCTGCGCGTGCGCCAGCGCCAGGGCCCCGTACGGGTGCGGCAGCGGGCGCGGCGGCGCCGCCGGGCCCAGCCCCAGCGCGGCGGCGGCGGCGGCGGCGGGGGCCGGGCAGGGCCCGGGGGGCAGCGCGGCGGGGCCGGGGCTGCCGCCGGGGCTGGTGACGCGGAAACATTTCTCCTTGTGCGCCTTGAGCATGTTGGAGAAGCGGAAGCGCTGGCCGCAGACGTCGCACGGGTACGGCTTCTCCCCCGTGTGCGTCCGACGGTGGCGCTTCATGTTGGGCCGGCTGGTGAAGCTCTTGCCGCAGATCTCGCAGATGAACGGCTTCTCCCCTGGGAACGCAGCGGGAAATCCTCAGAGACACCGGGAATCCCGGGAAATCCTCAGAGACACCGGGAATCCCAGCGGGAAATCACACAGAGACACCGGGAATCCCGGGAAATCCCGCAGAAACACCGGGAATCCCAGCGGGAAATCACACAGAGACACCGGGAATCCCGGGAAATCCTCAGAGACACCGGGAATCCCAGCGGGAAATCCTCAGAGACACCGGGAATCCCAGCGGGAAATCACACAGAGATACCGGGAATCCCGGGAAATCCTCAGAGACACCGGGAATCCCAGGAAATCCCGCAGAGACACTGGGAATCCCAGCAGGAAATCCCGCAGAGACACCGGGAATCCCAGCGGGAAATCCTCAGAGACACCGGGAATCCCGGGAAATCCCTGATCCCTGGGGAATACTGGGAAATCCCTGATCCGTCGGGAGCTCTGGGAACCCTCTGATCCATGGGGAATCCCGGGAAAGTCCCCTGATCCCTGGGAAACACCACTGCCTTTGGGGATCAGCGGGTCTTTACGGAATCCTGGCTCCCCCCTGGATTCTCCTGACTCTTCCCAGGATTCTCCTGGCTCTTCCCGGGATTCTCCTGGCTCTTCCCGGGATTCTCCTGGCTCTTCCCTGGATTCTCCTGGCTCTTCCCAGGATTTGGGACCAGACATCTCCACCCAGGGGCTCCTCCAGACCAAAACAGGAACCAACTCCCACCTCCCGCCCCGGGGGGGAATCCATCCCCGATTTTCCCAGCAGAAAGGGGAGGGACGGGAGGCCGGGGCAACCCCTGGGGGGAATTCCCGGGAAAATCCCCGGGGAATTCCCGGAATTCCGGGGAATCCCTGGGGAATTCCTCACCGGTGTGAGTTTTCATGTGCTCGTCGAAGTACTGCTTCATGTTGAAGTCCTTCCCGCACCACTGGCACATGAACTGCTTGTGCCCGATGTGGATGCTCATGTGCGAGCGCAGCTGGTACTTGTACTGGAAGCGCTCGTCGCAGTTCTGCGGGAAACGCCGGAATTCCGGGGGGAAAACGGGAATGGCGGGGGGGAAACGGGAGTTTGGG